TCGACATATTTTTTTTAACTTGTCCACAATTAATTTTTTTTGTCCTAGGTTGTCACTGAAACTCGTCCAGTCGCATTTAGGACTAAATCAGAAGCACTCAACAAGCGTGCACAAGATAGAGTATTTTACTTTTCTCTATTGTCTCGTCAATTTATATACTCTATAAAATACATTACAAATATAAATTAGCTTAACAAACAATATCCAAATTATACTTTATTTTCATCTTAAATAGCCAGTAAATGATCCCGATGCAAAAGTCGTTGTGAGCACAGTAGATGATGATGATGCATTTCCAGAGATCACTACGCAATTTCTGGCTGAGATGGATAGAACTGCACAAGAAAAAATAGATAGTGCAATAAAAGAAAGAGATGAGGTATCAGACCAATATTGAGACTACAAACTATATTTTACTTTTTATATTCCCTTATTCAGTTCATCCCTACAGATTTATTTCCATCTAAATTTTCTGTGTGTATACAGAAAAATAAGTCTGGCAAGTGGAGTTCAATCAACACAGCAGCAGTCATAGATGCCGGTCACGCCTTGTATCAATCGTCTCAACCGTCTTTCAGTTTAGGAATCCCAGATTTACCACCTCCATCACAAGTTAGATTCTTTAACCTTGTCGCGCACCAATCTGTAAATGTCTTTTCATATTTGTTATTTAACATTTATATTTACATCAACAAATTCAAATCAATTGTTTTTCTCTCTTCAAGATAATTCATACCAAGCATGACTTGGATAAAAGAAATGTAACACGTTCGAAGCGAAGGAACGTTGTTGAAAGCAACAGCAGTGCGATGGTTGTCTTTCGACCACCGGGTAACAAATCTTTTGGAAATTCGGTAAAACGCACTAGGAGAGAGCGGAAAAAAACAGCACTTCAAAGGTCATGCCCATTGGATGTTGATTTTTGGCATGGTGCGTATACAAATCTCGACGTTGAGGCTTTCAAAGATTGGATTGATAAGGGAACGCTGCAGCGTCCTCGAAAAGTGGGAGACGAGTAATTTAATAGATACAAATTCATCACAACTTTCTTTGTTTTATTTGTTGTATGAATATCAAACAACAACTTATTAGCTTATTTGCAGATACGATTTAATTTTTTTTTTTTGTTTGTTGGCTTATACAGGTACAATTACTATGATTCTAGGACCAGATTCTTAAAACCTCCAATGGATTTCAATGTTGCTGAAGTTACGGACAAGAACTGGTTGTACTACATTTATGAGACCAATATGTTTCTCGATAGTACTGTAAGTATAATCTAATCCATGTATATATGTTAACATTATATACTTTAATATACCGAAATGAATTATCCCTTTTTGTTTTTATTTTGTTTTTTTTTTATTTTAGTTGTTTTGTTTCTTATTTGTTATATTTCGCAGCACATGGATGTGTTGTTTTACTATTTGCGCAAGATCGGGTTGTACGGGAAAAATGCTCCTCTGAGATTCACAACGACTGATACCCTGTTTGACCAGCACATTAGGGCACTATATAGTACCTTTCTAGAACAGTCGCGCAATTCGGGTGTATGCTCTGTTCAGGACATGATAACAGACTACATTTTGGGTTATAAAATTATATGTGGATTGTCATGGTTTGAAGTTGATCATGTTTTGTTTCCAATGCATGTTGAACTTAATGGCATTGGTCACTGGATTCTGGGAAGGTTCACTTTCGCCGACATGAGGTTTTGGGTTTATAATTCATATTAATCTGTAGATTTTGACGCGGTTGTTCTTGAGAGTGCTCAGGCTTATTCTGAGCTTCTGCCCATTTTCCTTCGATTGGTGCAATTCTTCGACAAGAGGACTGATGCAAACACCGATGCGGGTGGACGAATCAAAACAAATGTGAACTCTCCTCTTGAGGTTACCATTGCTTCTAACATCCCAAAGCAGATCAACAGGTATTTTTTCATATGTCATTATGCTATTTCATCTTTTTATATACATAACAGTTTTTCTATATATATATATATATATATAACATGTTTCTAATAATTTAAAATTACACTCACATAG